GCCAGGGGAAGGGATGAAGGGGTCCTGAAGATGTCACGGTTTCCACCGGCAGCGGCCGACGTTTCCCCTGTGTCTCCCTCGTCCGCCCTTTCCTCTCTGCTCCCCTTCCGTGCACTCCCTTCTCCTGGGTGTGCTATCCTACTCAGCTTAGATGTTCTTTTAACTACCCCAGTGCGGCCCTACCTAGAAGTTGGAGCCCCTAGGAAAGCAGCATTAGTTGCTATGCTATGGTATGCCATGCTATGCTGCGCTATGCTATGCTATGCTATGATATGCTGCGCTATGCTATGATTTGCTATGCTAAGCTATGCTATGTCATGCTGTGCTGTGCTATGCTAAGCTATGGTATGCTATGCGATGCTATGTTAAGCTGCACTATGCTATGATATGATGTGCTATGCTGCGCTATGCTATGCTATGCCATGCCATGCTCGGCTATGCTATGCTACGCTATGCTAATGCAGCGCTGCGCTATGCTAAGCTAAACTAAGATGAGATAAGCAACGCTAAGCTAAGGGGACGTAACTGGGGGAAACGCGGGGCGGATACTGGGGGAACCGCCGCGGGCGCTTTCCACTGCCCGGCCCCTTTAAGCCCAGAGAGTAAGAACCCTTCTAGGCAGAGCCTAGGCAGGGAAAAAACACTGGGGCCGTTTTTTTCGAGATAGACGTTTTCCTTGTTCGGGAACAGTTGTTTTCTCCGTTTTGGGATTGGCGTATCGCCGGTGTTCGATTTGTTTTTGCGATCCGTTTTCATGTTTTCAAGTGTAGTTGTTTCTGTTTCCCGTTTCTGTCATTTGTTTTCTGTGTTGGGTTGCTGTCTTTTTTGTTTTTGGCTGCCGTGTTTCGCTCGTTTTGGGTCTGACCAGTGTCATTTAGTTCCCATTTTTTGAAGAAAATGCAACACATATTTCTTTAACAGTTTGGTCAGCCGCAACACGAAACGTCGAAACGCCCCCAGCGTTTTTAAGAACGACGGTCCTACTCCCCCTTCTTCCTTCCCCGTCCCTCGTCCTCCTCCCCGTCCTCCTCCTTCCCCCCCCCTCCCCCCCTCCCACTCCCTTTCCCTCGTCGTCTTCCTCCTCCTCCTCCTCCTCCTCGTTCTCCTCGTCCTCCTCCTCCTCGTCCTCCTCCTCCTCCTCATCCTGCCCTCCTCCCCCTCTCCTCCTCCTCCTCCTCCTCCTTCCTTCCTCCCACTCCTCCTCCTCCTCCTCCTCCTCCTCCCTCCTCCTCCGCCTCCTCCTTCTCTCCTCCTCCTCCTACCTCCTCCTCCTCTCCTCCTCCTCCTCCTCCTCCTCCTCCTCCTCCTCCCCCCCCTCCTCCTCTCCCTCCTCTGCCTCCTCCGCCTCCCCCCCTCCACAATTACACAATATGAATACTACTCTCCCACTTCCCCTGATGGCGTCCGGAAGATGTTCGGCACCCCCCCGCGTATTGTTTTTTTACACACAGGATTCCCCGGAGTTGGGTTTTCGCTTGTGTTTTTTTTCTGAAATGCTGCTCTCGCTGAGGCGCTGGCCTAATTTTCGGGCTCCCGCTCCTTCCGAATCGTGTTCCCGCTGCAGCGTGGGCCCGCATTTTCGATCGGGGGGGGGGGTGTTTGGGCCTCCGTCGTTGAGGCTTGCGTTCCGCCCAGCGCGGGCCTCCTCTTTCTCGCGCGCATATCCGCCCGCCACCACCGCGCCCTCACCACCACCACCACCGACCACCCCACACCCCCACCACCAACCTACCACACCACCACCACCACCACACCACACCAACACCAACACCACCACCCCACCGACCACCACCCACCAGCAACCACAACCAGCACCAGCACCATCACCACACCAGCACCATCACCGCCACCAGCACTCAACACCAACGCAATCACCAGCACCCCCCACCACCACCACCACCACCAACCAACCACCACCACCAACCCACCACCACCACCACCACCACCACAACCACGCACACACGCACGCACGCACGCACGCACGCGCACCACCACCCACTACGCACGCGCGCGCGGAGCCACAGGTCCGCTACGACACGCGTCCGCGGATAGAGAATATCAGCGCCATGGTAAGGGACGGGAGGGAGGGGTAGGACGTCAGATATGACGCGAGCGCACCTAGCTTGTCCCCCTCCCCCTCCCCCTCCCCCCCCCCTCCCCCCTCCTCCCACCTCCTCCTCTCCTGCGGCGGCCGCCGCCGCTGCCGCTGCCCGAGCGCCGCCTGCCGTGCCCATCCCCCAGAGGCAAGAAGCGCAGGGGCTGAGACCCCGCCGCCCCGCAGACCCCGAGCCCGGCGGGCCGCGGCCTGCGCGCCGGCCGGAAACATCGGACGGAGGGCTTCGGTCAGGGGCGACTACTCCAGATTTTGGAGGCGGCCCCCTGTGTTGGTCTTGGTGCCCATTTCAAGGCCTCCAGCTAGGGGCCCAGACAGCGGGCGTCTCGAAAAAACCGAGACGGTCTTTTTTGTTTTCGTAGTCTTGGGCCTCTCGGGGCCCTCACCGGGCCTCGGGGACAGTCAAGAAACGGCTCGGCATGGAAAACCGGTCCCGGGGAAGTGGTCGGGGTGTCGGGGGCCCGTGTCTCGAACAAAATCAAGACGTCGGATGTCTGGGGGGGGGGGCCGGGCTCAGCAGGGGCCACGAGGTCAGGCTCGGGGCGCGCTCTTCCTCCTCCCGACGTGGCCGTGGATGCCAGCCGCGGGGCGGGGGGGCCCCGGATTTGGCGCCCGTTTGGCGAGGCCACCTGGGGGCCTGGGCCCGACGGGGGAGGGAGTGGGCTTGCGGTCAGGGCCAACGTCGGGGGGGTGATAGGCCCAGGGGGGGGGGATGCATCGACCCCCAATCGCCCATTGGTCGCCGACAGGGGGCCGATGGCCCGCTCCCGCTCCCGCAGCGTTCGGATCCGCTCTCGGGGCCCATCGCTGCTCTGTCGCCGGCGTGTCGCCGATTCCGGGCCGATGCCTCCCTCCCTGAGCAGCTTCTCCAGGCCGCTGCCCCTGAGGGGGGTTGCCTTCCAGGCCTCTCCGCATCGTCTCCTCCTCCTCCCCCTCCCCCTCCTCCTCCTCCTCATCCTCCTCCTCCTCCTCCTCCTATGCCGCTCGGGATGCTGCAATCGAGGAAGGCTTGGCCCCTGGCCGGTCTCCATGCCTGACTCCACGGCTCGTCCCTACGACGCCAAACCCTGGCACCCCGTCGACGCTGATTGCCACACCTGAACGTGTTGAACATGGTGAAGATAGTGACGTCAATGTTACTGGCAGAACGCAAAGTCCTGGGCACGGGTGCTCCTCGAGCCCGTTGCTGCAGGCTCAGTCGTCGCCATGGGTGCTGGAGGTCACTGGCAGAACGCAAAGTCCCATGCAAGAGTGCTCCTTGAGTACGTGGCAGCAGGCTCAGTCGTCGCCTATGCCGCTGGAAGCTACTGGCAGAACGCAAAGTCCTGGGCACGGGTGCTCCTCGAGCCTGTTGCTGCAGGCTCAGACGTCGCCAACGTTGCTGGATGATGGGGGAAATCCTGGCCACTGCGCTTCAAGAATGAACTGTGAGTGTGGCGCCGAAAATAATCTGCCGCCCGCAAGCACGCTTTGTCCCCATATCCATAGCGTGGCCGTCCGCCGCTCGCGTCGCTCCATGGTTGTCCTCTCGACCCGCCCTCTTGCTCCTGAGGAGGTCCCTCCTGCTGCTTCCTCCCTCCCTCGCTCTCGCGCGCCGCCTTCCGCGGCTATGATTGAAACACGGCTCGCTGCCCACATGCACGTGATGTTCGACATAGGCAGGCGCCCTCCGCCCGCCTCGCCGCCTGCTGCCGCCGCCCTTGCTTCTCTTTCCTCCGCTCTGGTCCCTGGCGAAGCCAGTCACTCGAGTGTGGAGAGGTGTGCTCAGCTGTTGAGCTGAGCACAGTGGTCGGTCGGGTGTCGGATTCACCTCCCCCTCGGCTTGCGCTCCTCCCCCTCCTCCTCCTCCTCCTCCTCCTCCTCCTCCTCCCTTCCCATTCCCTCCTCCTCCTCCTCCTCCTCCTCCTCCTCCTCCTCCCTCCTCCTCCTCTCCTCCTCCCCCTCCTCCTCGCCCCTCCTCAATAGGGGGCCGCACTCCTCCTCCTCCATCCTCCTCCTCCTTCTCCTCCTCCGCCTCCTCCTCTTCCTCCGTAGCCATTTTGGCTCAAGATGCCTGGTTCCCTTGGGGCCAAAACGGATACCGCTAGTCCGCGGCTAAGTCTCGAAGTTCTCTGCCTTCACTGCAGGGGTTGGGCGCCTGCACTAGTCTCATCCTCTCTCTTACGGAGGTCCCTCTCTTGAGGGGTTCACTTGCCTCCGTTCACGGTCATTCATGGCCCAAGATGGCTGGCACAGCAGTGGTGGGAAGGCTCGTCAGCAATACCACGACCCGTGCCCGCACTGCAGGTACCGCTGGAACTTCAAGAACAACCACTGGTGCTACCAGTGCACGGGGGCCCTGGTGTCGCAGCCTGATGGTTCGAAGCGGCCGATTGGGCAGTGGGCGTTTGGGCCTCCGCAGTTCTCGAGCTCGCCGTTCCATGTTCAGCCTGCTGGGTCTCCCTTCACCGACCCGACGCCGGCGCAGGCGGCTGCGGCAGCCGCCACGGGCCCAGGCAAATGTCGTGGCAAGAAGGGTGCTCCTCCGCCACCTCGGGGGAAGGCCAAGGCGAAAGCCGCCTCCCCCGCGGGCCATGTTGACAGGCGTCCGTGGGTATATCACCAGGGCTGGTACCCGTACGGTGGCGCGTCAGCTCCGCCCGAGCCAGGCAATCCGATGGCGGCCCTGCGGGCCAAGCTTGGCGACGACGGCACGGAGGCGCCGGCAGCAGTGGAGGCGCTCCTCGCCAAGAAGGAAGCCCCGCCCCCTGCTGCACCGCGGCAGCCGCTCCTTGAGGACGTCTCCACCAAGGGGGTGGCGCACCGCCGTGCAAAGTCCTGGCTCGAGCGCTGCTCCCTCAAGGTCCTGGAGGGGGAGGCCTGGCTTCAGGAGGCGCGTGATACTGAGGACCTTGCGGCCACGGCGGCGGTCGAGGCCAAGCGCTCGTGGGAGGAAGCCTGCGCGAAGCAGCTCCCGCAACCAGTGTCGGCGCCACCCGCTGCTGCTGGGGCATCGTCGCTCAACCTGTCCACGCTCCTGGGCGAGGACAGCGAGGTCGAGGGGCTCACCATCGTCGACGGCCCAATGTTCAGCACGGAGGGCCTCGACCTCGACCCCGCGGACCTGCGCGAGTGGGAGCGGGTCAAGTCCAACCTTGCGGCTGGCATCAAGGCCGAGATCTCCAAGGCGCTCGGCTCGTCAGTTGAGCAGCTCGCCGCTCTTCGAGCGGAGGCCAAGCAGGTGTCCTTGCGGATGCAAGCGAAGCGCAGGCGGAGTGATGGCGCTGGCGATGGTGCCGGGGCTAGTGCTGCTGCTCAGCCTGGCGGGGCAGCTGCCTCTGGATCCGAGGGCGATGGCAGCGGTACTCCTACCACTGGTTCAGCTGATGGGCCTGAGGAAGTTCGAGCGGCAGCCAGGCGCACCGCCAAGGAGTCCTTCGACACCAACCGAGCAACGCAGCAGGGACTTTAGCAAATCTACTGAACCTGGTTTGCCACACACCTTTTATGGTGGCATCTTCATGAGTACTGCGGAGGAGCTCGCCTTCGATCCGCAGGAGTACCTGGACAATCTCTACAAGTTCACGTTGAAGGAGGGTTGGCCGACGACGCAGTATGGCGACATTTTCCTCGCCGAGGCGGAGGAGGCCCTCTTTCCCCCTGCCGCGCAGCCCTTGACGGGCATTCTTCGTCTTAAAGATCAGGATCCCCAGCGCCGAGCTGCGATTCACCATCGTGAGGTACTTGAGCGGAGTCTCCGCTCTTTCGCTGGCAGATGGATCCCTGACGTTAGTGCAGCGAACGAGGCTTCTGATGAGGCCCACTGGAAAGGGCATTGCATTCCCTTCATCTCGACGTGGTTGTCTCATCCTCTGCTGAGCCCGCTTGTTTCAGAAGCAGCCGCTGCGGCAGGCCATGGGAATCCTGCCATTGCAGCTCTTGATATGGCCAGGCGTATCTGCGAGCGCGCTTGGCGCGCTCGGCGCAGCCATTGTGCTCGCTACTTGCAGATGTTGCGGAACTTGGAGGCCGAAGATGATGATTTGTGGCAGGAGGAGCTGCAGCGACAAGCGATGGCGTTCTTGGAAGCTCTGGAGACCCTCGACACACGTGCGCCGCAGCGGCGCGTGCAGGGCAGCTTCCAGGTGGTCCTCCCCTTTTGTGGGCGTCCCCACCTTGCAGCGCCACCCGACCGAGGTAGTCAGGTTCCCGGTACCCCTGCCTTCGGGCGGACGACGGGCCGCGCGAGTTCTTCGGCAAGTTCGCGGCCTCCATCTTTGGGCGAGGGGCGCAGGGATTCAGCCCCTGGTCGTCGCAGCCCCTCGCCCACATGCACTACGGCTACTGGCAGTTTGTTTTCAGGTTCCGCGACCCTATCGGGTTCGGCCAGTTTTGCGAGGATTACCACCTGCGCTTCGAGCACCGCGCGCGGGTCTCAGGAGGCGTCAACAGGATGCCCTTCCAGCACGGGGTGTACTTCCACGGGAGCTTCTTTGACTCCGCCCTCGACGCAGATGGCATCGGTGCCAGAGGCGGGGGGGGGGCTTGCGTCGGGCTGGGACGACGCTAATCACGACCCCTTCGATGACCTGGATCGCATGTTGGATGCGGAGGCGGCTGAGTCCACTCACGCCGTGCCCACAAGCACAAGGGGGGGGGGGGGGGGAGGGGGGGGGTGGGGGGGGGGGGTGGGGGGGGGTGAGGGGGTGGGGGGGGGGGGCCAAGCCTGCGGCCCTCCGCAGGTCCCTCAGGTCCCTGGTCGCCCTGCAGAACCCCTCCGCCTGTCGTTGCCAGAAGGAGGAGGGGCACGCCTCAGGGGTGTGACTGAAGTTGCCGAGGACTCTAAGTTGTTGGAAGATGCGACCCCCGTCCCACAGCTCCCAGCGTTGCATAAGCTTTCGGGTCGACCTGATTTGGTTGCCCCTCTCGCTGCAGATGTTGATTCCTTTTCTTTTCTGTGTGGGAATATATCAGAATGGGGCCCGCAGGCTCGCAAGTTTCTGAATGCCACCTCGTTTGCCATGGTGTGCTTTGTTGAGATGCACGTGTTACAGTCCAGGTTTGCTGGTGGCGTCGGCCAGACCTTTGATGCTGACGGGTGGAAGACCGCTTACACGGGCAGCAATGCTACTGGCAAAGGTGGTTCTTCTGGCGGCGAGCTCATTGCTATCCGCAAGCACCTGGCCTCCACCAGCTTACAAAGTATTCGCCAGGCTGCAGTCAGACTTGGCAAGTCGGATCCATGCCGAGGGCTTGCGCCCATGACCCTACATCTCAGCAGTGGCAATGTGGTCGGTGTGTCTATCTATCTTTGGCCTGGACTTTTGACATCAGGTCACAACCAGTCAATGTTGATCAGTTTGGGTGCTTTTCTGTCGGCGTTGGCCGATCCTTGGATTGTTGTTGGCGACTGGAACATGGAACCTGATGCACTTATTCGTTCAGGATGGCCCTCGAAGGTGCAGGGCGAGATTCTGTATCCAGACGTGAAGGTCACCTGCGACAAGGCGGCTCAAGGTACACTGATTGATTATGGAATGGTTAAGCAAGGCACGGCAGATCGCTTTTGCATGCGAGGTTTTGCATCAGTTCCGTGGAAGACGCACACTGCCTTGCAGGTTGACATCCGTGGGTCTAAGCAGAGGTGGTGGCACCGACGCCTCGTCACGGCACCTGCGTTCCCGACAGTCTGCCGCCCCAAAAAGCAAGCTGACCCAAGCAGCAAGGCCTCGATTGAGAAACAGGAAGCGCTTATCCAACGCAGAGCGAAGCTTCCAGAGGACCTTCAAGCTGAATTTGACATACTTCACAAAGAGGCTGCGACCACGGCAGCTGGAGCTGATTCAGTTTCCTTCTTTCTTCCTGAAGAAGTGTGGCCCTCAGCTTCTATTGTTGTGCTGACGCTCGGGGAGATCAGCCGGCGTACGCTGAAGCAGCATTTCCTTGGGGATATTCATGCATTGGGTTCTTCGCAGCTCACCAGAAAGTGCAGCACCTGGGTTACCAAGATGGAAATGGCTTTCAGTATTCACCATCAGGAGGAACCCCTGCCGGGTGCAGGCCCCCAGCTTAAGTGGCAGTTGTCGCAGGCTGCTCCAGGGCGTGCTCATCTCTCCGACCCTGTGGGTGAGCAGTGGGGCATTGTGCGCACTCTGGTATTAAGGGCGGTGTCGCTGGCTAAGCATGGGCGAGGCCCCAAGCAGGTATCCGATTACTTTCAGCAACTTCAGCGACATGTTGCTCATTTTCAATCATCAGATACTTCTGAGTATTTAGGCACATCTGGCCAGGAGGAGCGCGATCGCTGGCTTTGCTGGTCAGCCACCATACCCTCGGCCAATCATGATGAGCTTGATGACTGGTCACATTTGACGGAGAGACTGGCTCATAGGGCGCAGGCGCGAGCTCTCACCAGGGGCGCGCACCAGTTCACCAAGGGGGCCCTTGAGCAGTGGCGGCAACACCCTGGGCGTCTTCATGCAATGGCGCGTGGCCCTCAGCCTGTGGTGCATGAGAGTTATTGTCATGGGCAGGTCATTTCTGAACTCTCTGAGTTCATAGGCGAAAAGCGTAAGGATTGGCGTGCCTTGTGGACCGAGGCAGTTGACGATGCTGAGGCCATCACTCATATGCTTCAGCAGTTGCATGGCGAGTCTCGGCGAGATCCCTTGCCTCCATTGGAGTTGGAATCTTTGGAGCGCGTGGTTGCCAAGCTTCCTGCGAAAGCCTCAGGCGTCGATGCTCTCACCCCTCGTGATCTTCAAAGGGCCCATCCCCAAGGTCGGATCGAGTTTTTAGAGTTGCTTAACCACGTCGAACATGAAGGAGTTTGGCCAGCGCAGCTGCTTAGCACAATCTGCGCTCTTCTTCCCAAACCCGACGGAGGGGAGAGGGTGATTGGGCTCTTGGCTGGATCCGCGAAGGTTTGGAGCCGCCTGCGCTATGGTGATACCTCAGAGTGGACTGAGTCTTTGGAGGCGCACTGGGACACGGCTATTGCAGACAGCAGCGCCTTACGCGCCGCTCTTCTGAGGGCTCTACTCGACGAGACGGCGGCGGTCCTTGACATCACGGTAGCCACGCTGTTGCTAGACTTTGAGAAGTTTTATGATTCGGTGTCGTGGGTGCTCTTGGGCTGCGCCGCACAGCAGCTGGGGTACCCGCCCATTGTAGTATGCTTGGAAGTGCAGTTCTGTGCTGGGCCCCGCTTTCTTCGAGGCCATAAGGGAGCGTCCGACGCCATCCTGCCGACTCGCTCGCTGGTGGCGGGCTCCCCTCATGGGGCGCGGTCGGCCAAGCTCTTCCTGCGCCCGCTGCTGCAGCGTGCTCAGGCCAGAGCCGATCCCACGACCCTTTGGGCATTCATTGATGACACCGTGTTGCGCTCAGAAGGACCTCAGGATAAAGTAAAGACTCGCATGGTTGCTGCTGCTACTGATTTCAAGCAGGGTTCGGGCACCATGCGTCTGGTGGTTTCTCCTAAGACGGTGCTTATCTCTAATGTGACCCGCCTGGGCAAGAAGCTGGCCAAGAAGCCCCATCGCAAGGCGATTCCTGTGCAGTTTTTTTGGAGGCTGTTGATCTGGGTGTTGATGCCACAGGCGGCGGACGAAGGACTGTTCGCAAACCTCCCCAGCGCGCTGCCAACGCTGCTCGTCGAGCTGCACGCCTTCTGCGTTTTCGGCGGCATGCGCGGCTCCGCAAGGTTTCTCAGGGCCTGTGGAAGACTGGAGCGCTGCCGCAGGCAGCATACGGACATCAAGTCCACGGGCTTGCACCATATCGGCTCCTTCGCCTCCGACGGCAGGCGGCTACTGCAGGGGCAGGCCCGTTGAAGGGCAGGTGCTTGACCAGTACGTTAGCCATATCGTATGGTCAACAAGATCCTGCTTTGGAGCTGAGGCGACAGCTACTGGCGGAGTATATCACGGTCTGGCGCCTTCACCCTGAATTTCATCAGAGGATTGGAACATCCTGGCCGCCAGTTCTTCGTCGTCTGGAGGTTGCGGGACATGCAGGGCGCTGGAGATTGGTCAAGGGACCAGTGTCTGCATCGATCGCCACGTTGCTTGATGCTGGCTGGAAGCCATCCTCAGCTACTTCCTGGTGGCGCCCAGAGCATGGAGGATTTGCTGAGTGGAAAATCCCCACATCATCTTTGGTGGCTTTTCTGGTGATGAGATGGATGTTGGAGGAGTGCTTGAAGAAGTTATGCTTGATGTTCATGCTCAGCTGTGGTCTCGAGCTTCGGAGCATGAGGGAGCGGAGGGCCTCGCTGG